GTTAGATGGAGGATTTCACTTCTTATCTAAATAGGCCAACTTTGGTAGACTCAGATAGAGTCATCTTCAGATGCTAGGAAGGTTAGGAAAAATCCAGAGGACCCAGATAGTAGATGTAGGGAACAATTTGATGTGCTTGAGGAGACAGGGTTTCTGAAATTTTCTGAATTTCCTAGGCCCCCGAATCATGATTTCAGCCAGGGATAGAGTCTTATACCTTTCTTGGGTGATACCAATGGATCAGAATGGATCCACAGCTGTAGATTTTATTTCTAGCTATTGTAGACTCTGTATCTCAATTCTGGGAGAACTTTGTCGGGGCAAGGGAGACTGGATGGAATTTTCTGGTGGGGCCTTAATTAAAGATTGGTCAACAGCAAAATCTACTGATATTGCAAATTTTGAAATATGCTGATAGTTCCTAGCTTCCTCCTTCTGTTCTTCTATCCATTCAGATTCTCATTCTATTAGTTTTTCTCTGTCTCTCTTCCCCTGTCCTTTCCTGCTCTCTCTCCCTTTAGACATCTAAAGTCTTCCTTCTATTTCTTTGCCAAATTCAGATCTCACAGAGAATACTGATATAGCCATTCATTCATTCTAAAGGATAGAACAACTCTTACTATCTTAAAGAGTTGTCCTTCTTTAGAAAAGGTATTTTTCTTTTAGTAGTTTTCAAAACTTTGTCTTTACTAAAAAGTACAGTCTCCTTGAGGACAAGTAGTATTGAGGGCAAATCATGATCACCTTTATATCTGTAGCTTAATGAATAATATGGAATCAACCACACATATGCTGTTCTCAAGGTAAAAGATTAGCTATTGAATAGGTGGGAGGGGACACAAGGAAGGCAGTCCACCTCCACTCCCTTTACTCTTAAGAGTATGGAATCCCTATAGTTTTGACCTCTGTGACCTTTCTACTTGATACCTCCCCATCATCAGAAGAGTACAAAGTGATGCTCTATAATTCTGAATATCTTGGAAAACAAATAATTATAATTAGGAGTTGAGATTGTTCCATAACACTTTTCTAGGCTCCCAGGTCCCGGAAAATCAACAAATGGGAAAAAAATAAGTTTATGAAATACCAGTATGCTTACATTTTCTAAGCACAGACAGTTAAAAGATTCTAAGAAATACAAGGACAGATAAATAAAACAAGAAGCAGTTTCAAGTCATTGTGAGAGAAAACTGTCATATGGCAAAGAGACAGCAATATGAAATGGCTGTCCACTTTGTTTCCTTCAGGTCCCCTGCAGATGGCATTAGCTTTCTATAATTTCTTATCTTCAGGGGCAATTTTTATTCAAGTCTATGTAGACAAAACAAGCTTTAATTCCAGCAGTGCTATTTGACTTGAACAACTACCCCCTACCCCTGCAAAAAAGGAACGGAGGAAGCATCTGAAGCAAAAATCAGTAAAAGGAGACAGTGATGAGATCAAAATGCATTCAGCCATCATTTTAAGGGGAGTATCAGCGTAAAGAAAATAAGCCCTTGGAATCAGCCAATTAATCACGAACCTTCCTTCCTCCCACTGTGTGAGTGTTGCCACCCCTGTAAACCACTGACTCCATGCACTCCCACCATCAGCTTTCCCCATCACGTTCCAGACAGACTCCTGTGTCTTCAACACCAATACATGTAAGTGGCCAGTTGAGAGCTGTGATTGCTCACCCTTTCTGTAATGGGTGCCCACAAGATAAACCATCCATGCTGACCGCATTGCTCTACCCTTGAGGTCAGTCCTTGCAAACATCCTCATTGCTTAGCTGAAGCCTCTCCTTCTGTTCTTTTTCATGAAATTCACTTCATTTAGAGCCAGTTATACTCATCACCTGTTATGCATTTCACAGCCTATGATTTTTGTATATACTATGTCTCTCATTCTGTTTTATTTTGTAAGTAAACTTTCTGTGATTTTTTTTAGCTCTATTTGGCTTCCTCTCACCATAAATACCAGTTTTGCTATTTGCAAAATAAAAGCTGATTATCATTATTTTAATTTCTAGAGATTAGGAAGGACTGAAATATTGTAGATATTCAGAAGTATGAAACCATACCATTTCTTGGTGCATTCAATTTAGTTTGCTTGCATTTTTTTCTTTTTCTGGAATGCAAACAATAATTCATGTTATTTGGGGACAAAAATAAAATTTAATTAAGATGAAAGAAAATGTGAAAACTGATCTTGTTATCCTAAAATAACCTATTTTAAATTATTTAATTATTAACTATTTAATATTATGCTTTCTATGCTGTTAGTCTTTTTGTACATATTTTAAAATCATTTTAAACTTTTAAATTAAAAAAATGTATTCATACAATGCATACAGTTTTACTTTTATAGACCTTTTCCTATACCCCAGAATATATAGTAAACCTCTTTATTTATCATTTTTGTAGGCTGCATAATTTTCTACCTGATAAAATATATATATGTATGTATGTGTGTGTGTGTATATATATATATATTTTTTTTTTTTTTTTGAGACTTAGTCTCACTCTATTGCCCAGGCTGGAGTGCAGTGGACAGATCTTGGCTCACTGCAGCTTCCACCTCCCGAGTTCAAGTGATTCTCCTGCCTCAGCCTCCTGAGTAGCTGGGACTACAGGCAGGTGCCACCATGCCCAGCTAATTTTTTGTATTTTTAGTAGAGATGGGGTTTCACTGTGTTAGCCAGGATGGTCTCCACCTCCTTACCTCATGATCCACTCACCTCGGCCTCACAAAGTGCTGGGATTATAGGCGTGAGCCACCTCGCCTGGCCAGAATATATTTTAACTTATTTTGCCGGTCTTCTAGACTTGAATATTTAGATTTTCTCCATGGTTTTTAAAGAATGCTGCAACGGATATCTCTGTAACTAAATGTTTTCACACATCCTAAATTATATCAGTAAAATAAAATTGGAGGCATGCAAAAGTGTGCCCAGCATTTAGGGTTCTGATACATAGTATAGATATACTCCCATCAATAGTGTGTGAAAACTCAGGGTTTATGTTTCTTGTGTATAAGGAATCTTTTGCCATGGATTTTAGTTCCATTTTAGTTCTATTTAGCTTTCATCTCCAGGCCTCTTATAATCCTACTCATTTCGCATATGGTCCTGATACTATCAGTTTTTTTAGTAGCCTTTTGCCCTTTGCTACTTAAGCATGTGTTTCTGGATGAGATTCTCATTCCTAATTAAATAGATTCAGATTACTGATTGAATTTTCTGAGTATCCTGTCCCATATGTCAAGGTCTCTCAGAAAGTCAACAGAAAACTTTAGAATGGTATAATAATTAATAGTCAAAAGAAGAATTCAATTAAGAATATGATGTTGGCCCTAACATTCATTATCCTTATTGCCACACCTGATTAACAATACATTTTTTAAAGAGTTTCCTCTACCCTTCCAGAAAAAAAAAAAAAAAAGAATAAAACAAAAATAGATGAGGTTCTGATTAATTATAAAACTTCTGGTTCCAATCCAGTTTGCAGAATGAAACCATGGATATAAAAGTCAAAACATTAGCTCAAAATTACAATTTTTTAAGAAAATTATTTCAATAGAAGATACACATCATTTGACTCTCCTCCTTCTTACAGAGTGATCCAAGAGCAGGATCTCTTACTTTCCATCCATCGTCATTCATAGAATCCTTGAAGCAACTCAGGGGTTATTAGCAGCAACCCTTGCACAGATGAGGACTCTGAAGCATAGAAATGTTGTATAACTTGCTTAATACAAAGCCCATGCTCTTTTTATTCCATCAGACCATATCCTATAAATGTATATACATTGCTAGGGAAGTACACTATGGCAACTCAGCTACCTCTCACAAGGTGGTATGGTTTATAAAAATAGCATCACACATTTGTCATCATTGCTTCGTTGAGTGTCCAACATAGAAACAAAAATGAAAAGGGTGCCTTCTTTGGTATTAAAATATTCTAATGCATTAGAGAATGATCATACTTACCAGTGTTATTTTGCTCTACTTATTTGCTTTTAATGATAATATATGCCTGTTTACTTTTTATAGATATAAAAAAGGTAGATTTAAAAAAGCACTTTAGGTAGATTTTAAAAGCACTTTAAGAACATGAATTAAATGATAATTTAATGAAGAAGTACAATAGATTAAGGGATACTGTGATAGATTAAAAGAACTTGAATTTAAAGATACTTTAATGTTGTTGTTATTAACACAAAAATTTATGCTAACAAAATGTATTTTCCCAAATATCTCTCTCACCTCCCCACCCGCAATTTTTATTCAGGAATATGAGAATTGTGCTTTTATAAAAGCAAACAATGGCTGAATATCTACTAAGTTCTTAGAAACTTTGAAGGATTACAGAACTCTCTTTCTATCATAAGGTTTGCCTATTTACTTGATTTTGTTCAAGATGGCATTTCATACTCACGTAAACCTAAAAAAAATATAAGATTATCTCATAGAAAGAAGTGTCTGGAAGTAATTAGTTCTTCACTCTAATTACTATTTATGCCTTTACTTTTTATTATAAACTTTCTTGTTAGAATAAACTAGAAATAGGTTGTACTTTCTTTACACTAAAATAACTCATGAATAGGAGTGAAATCCATGCTGTATAATATGCAACACAGTAAATTAAGCTATGGATTCAAATAAGAGATGAGGAAAGACAAAGCTTTTAGTTAAATCAGGAATATTCTGTGATTGGAAAAATTGCCTTGAAAAATAACTACACACACAGACACACACACACACACACACACACACACACACACACAAACACATACATACTACTAGAAAAATTTGATATTCAATTCAGAGCGTGGAAGGTACAGTGTCTTAAAAGAGTTTTAGTTGAAGCATTTAAGCAAATGATCAAGAATATGCAGAAGGAAAAAGAAAGAAATCATAATTATAGTTTCCTAATAGAGGTATTTGATCCTCTGCAATGAACCATAAGAAACTATCATGGGATCACAATCTTGAATAGCATGTCTTTAATTGTATGCATTTCAAAGAAATTTGAACAGCTAAAAAAGTTATACCATATTCAAAGTTGTATATAAAGACATTTTCTATACTATTATCATAATTTTACAAATAAGGTAACAGGGTTAGAGAGGTTAAATGAGTTACCAAAGCCAATGGCTAGATAGTAAGAGGGCCAGAATTCAAGTCCTAGCCTGGGATGCCCAAACCAAGGACTGCTGAGCTCAGCCACAAGTGGAAATGGACTCTTATGGGGCTAAGTGATTACCATTATTTTAAAAGCTAGTATCAGAAATGGATGACAAGAATTTAAATGTATATTAAAATATCTCTTCGGTAAGTGTTAGTGTCCTCACTGGTAAACAGAGAGCATCCTCAAATTAGAGCAATTTGAGAGGGTTTAAAAGAGGGACTATTTACAAAATTGCAGGCATAGAGACATAGAGGAATTACAGGGAGAATGTGGTAACCTGGAGTTTGGAATGGCTGGGCCTGTAGAGGCAAGGAAACAGTGCAGTTACTGGAAGCCCAGAACAGAGGGCTGTGTGGAGACTGCACAGTGACCCTGGAAGAAGAGGGCTGCACTGTCAACCCTATTCGCCCTCTTTCTAATCTCCTGCCAGCCTCGCCGTTGGCTGGAATCAGAGTCAGAGAGCAAGGGAGCCAGTTGATGTATTCTGTATAAGGCCACATCTCTAAGATCAGAGGAGGGTGGGAGGGATCTTCAGAAGCACTTGGAGACATCCAACTGAGTCACCCAGCGTGGACTGTTCAGAGCGGTTTGTTCAGATTTGCTATGAGACAAGGAACTTGCATCAGAATGTAAATCAATTATGTCATCAAGTGTACTGTTTAGTTCAGCTGTCATTTTATTCACAGCGAGATGTTCTCAATGAAGGAATCGGTGTGCTGGCTTACATCTTGGTGCAAACTCCTTTCACCCTTACAGACAGGCCCTTTGAATAGCACTGAGATTCCTTGCTCTGTAGTTAATGATAAACATGCTGGAGTCCCTTTCCCTGCTTGGATTTTCCTACCTTACCTTCTACTAAAGAGAAGAAAACGAATATTTGTCTGTACCTATTCTGAGCCTGGCACTGTGCTAAGGTACTTTAGATGACATTTAATTCTTGCAAGTTAGATTATTCACTTCATCTTTACAGACAAGAAACAGGCTCAAAAAGTTTAAGTAACGTGCCTGTGGTCGAACAGCTAGCAAGTGACAGAGCCAGCAGTCAAATCCAGATCTGACTCCAAAGTCCATGCCCCTCACTGTTTGTAAGCGATCTCAGGACTGTGCTTAAAATTATCTGACATTAACACCAAGAAATGAAGCAGGGTTGTTGGGGGGATTGCCTTATATGGAGACCTATGACTGTGTTCCTCATACGTATGCTAATCATGATTTCTGGGAATAGATACAACCCAGCTTCCCCCAATCAGATAGCACTGTTTATGTATACCATGGTACTCCATGTTACAAGGCCTTGCGCAGCTCAGCTGGCCAGGTCAGAGATGAATCCAGTATGTTTCTAAGTGGCTGTTGTCTGTTGCCATCTCTTTTTAAGCCTGGGAAGTCGGGAAGAAGATAGGGAGAAAGAATTCATGAGAAGAATGCGTTTCCTTAGAAATGTTATTAATTGGCTGGGCAAAATAAGAGAAGGAAATAAAATAGCTCCTCCTTACTAAGTAAAGGCATCTTCTTCCCTTATCTCATTAAAAATTAAAAGCACTCTTGGTTTAAGTAGGGCAAATTAGTAATTAAGTGCTATATAATGAACTTGTGTAAACAGAATATTGAAGGGGAAGCCAAATTAATCACTCCACTGACTTGTTTTTGCCCCTATTAATGCACCTTTTACTCAGGTCCTTCCTGTAATACCAGGATGTATTTTCTGCTCTCCTCTGCTGCTGGAGGTTGGGTGGGCTGTGATAGCTGGGCTGACAGATGACGGTAGACTAGATCCGGAAAAGTCGTGTGTGGGGGCCTGGATTCAAAGTAGGTGATGAGGATGGCTGTTTCATTTTTTAAGCCAAGGCTCATCAGCACAAACCTACATGTGACGGGAGCAGCCTTAGATGGTAGCAGGACATCAAATAATTAGACACAATGTTGGTACCCTAGGAATTTCCGGTCTACAGGTCAGGGGGAGGTTGGACACAGATGGATACAGTTAGGAAAAATTTTAAGGTGTAATGCCAAAGACTATTTGCTTGTACTCAAATCTTGGCTCTACCACTTACCTTGGGTGAGTTACTTAGTTTCTCTATGCCTCAGAGGCCTCACCTGTAAAAGATAACAGCAGAGATATATTATCTCATAACTCATGTTGTAAGGAGTAAACGTGACTATACATAAAGTAAAATAGTCTTATTAATGTTGGCTATTTTGGTTTAAATTGCAATTACTCTGCAATGGAATGATGGAGCATTTGAGGAGTGTCTTCCACTGTCTTAAGAGGGCTGGGAAAGTCTTCCAGAGGAGGCAACCTTTGAACTGGGCCTTGGAGGATTAGCTGGTGATAGAGCTAGAATTCAGGGTGCTGTGGGACCCCTAGGCCTATGCTTTTCATCTTTGCTGCAAAGTGCTTCCTCTGAAAGCAGAGGAAGGAGCTTGGGCCTCAACTCGGGACAAATCTCTCTCCATTTCAGCTCAACATAGTAAATATTAGTAATAATTGCTGGATCCTCAGTCTTGTGATATCGTGGCAACTACCTGCCAAGTATGTGGGGCGAGGAGTGGAAAGAGTAAGTGAGCTGAGTCCATCACAGGCAGGGTAGGAGGAAAACAAATAGAGCAGCAGAAAGTAGCCCTATAAGTCACCTTGCTGAACCCCACAGTGATGGCATCTCCTAAGCTTACTAGCTGTGTGAACAAACCTGGCTGGGTAAGCTACTTAATTTCTCTGAGCTCAGTTCCATATTAACTGACCCCACTGAGTTTCTGCTAGTATTCTGTGAATGAAAGCACATTTAGCACAATCCTGTTCAGCAGAAAAGTACTTTTATCATTCCCTGTGTTCACTTGATTTTCACCACAGCCATAAGGGGTAGGTGGTATCATCATGCCACTCTATTAAGCAAGAAATTGAGGCACCAAGCTACTGAAAAGCTCCCCTAAGTTTACCTAGATGGTTAGTGGCAGAAAAACGGTTTTAAACTCAAGTGATCTGGCTCCAGCCCTGCTGTCTGCATATCCCCCATAGCCCCATGCTTTGGAGGGCACCTATAGCTAGATTTGTGTGTCACATGCTAGATTTGCGTTTCACGGGGTAGATACTGCTCAAGTATGTCCAGATCTCTCACTCACTACTGAGGAAGAAGTCCTTTCTTTCTGCTTGAGGGAATGATGGGGCAGAGCCGGTAGCTGTGGTGACCCTTTGACAGGTGGGGTAGGTACAGCAGGTGCAAGTGACTCGCCAGGGAGCATTAGCCCTAGGATGCAGTAGGAATGCAGCTGCTGCACTGATCTTGGCAGTTTTGCTTAGTGAACCAAACAGTTTATTTGTTTATTATTCATACTCTGCTTCCACAAAGGATTTAAGAAAGCTTACAAAAAGTGACTAAGTAGGCTACTGGAATAAAACTCACGAGTTAGAAACAATGTAAAAAGAGGAAAATAAACCAATCCCTCATACTAGGGTGGGCATCCTCTAACTCAAATGACTTAAGGTACCACTCAGGCCATACAAACATGGGAAGATACCAGCAAAGGACAAGGTGATTTGATTCTGTGTTAGGTAAGAAAAAAGTACTAGAAAAGTGTTAGTACTAATATTTGTATTCAAAGTACTGCCACAGGATGTTGAAATTCAGGTTGTTTTAACTCTGGATTGGTGAGTGTCACACCAAATATCTATGGGACAGATCTGGCTTATCTATGGGTCTCTGACCTGGACTAGGCAGTTCTTCTTATTATTTTTTAATGGGGTCTCGCTCTATTGCCCAGACTGGAGTGCAGTGGCATAATCATGGCTCACTGCAGCCTCAAACACCTGTTCAAGCAATCCTCTAAGGGATTACTTTGAACTTCAGGCAACCAAGGCAAAACTGGGAAATATGTCAAGTCATACGGAGTCAAGGAAGTATACCTGTTCTTTAAAAGAGACCACATTTTTCCTTATACCAAATGCTAACATTATTATTTCTTTAAAAATGAACTTAGAAATCCTTCCATGGAATTCTTATGGAAGAAGGCAGAAGAATTCATTATATACCACCTTGCCAGAGCCCAGATCATAACTTGAAACCTGACTTTGTGTCTAGGATAGCCTGGGTTTATAGCTTTTTGGAAATGTCACTTGACCTAGGGATATAACCAAGAATACCCAGTTTAGTAGATACATAGCATGTCCTTTCACCTTTTTTCCATGAATATTTCTTCCCTTGGCCAGCTTTGCAAACAAAGCTGTGTTACTGACCTAGGAGTATCTCACAGGGCCTCAATACTAAAGCTTTTTACCAGCCTGGCATCAGAGAAGTGCTAAAATGAAGTACCCATCAGTCGAGAAGGGCAACAGATGTTGAAGCATATCAAATATCAGTAAACAGCAAGCCCACAGAGACGGCTGAACTTGGCATCCTCATAGCAAAAATACCCTGTTGCCTTTAAGAGAGAACGCTGTGGACTTTTATAAACCACATTAAGTGATGCATTTTTTTTTCATCTGGACAACTGCTACCCTATGAAATATTTTGCCTGAAAGATGGTCTGCTATGCTCTATTTTTTTTTTAATCTCTACTTTTTTTAAGGGCAAACTTAATGCTCACAGAGTGTTCTAGGCTTTCAGCCCTGGAAATATAGGTCTCCCGTCATTGAGAGGAGTTTCATGTTCAGCTTATCTAGTACCCTGTCTTTTACTATTAGCAGTATGATTCATATTATAAGTAATAAATTGGGCTGTATTTCAAATCCTGTAGCTGTGTACCGGATTAGTCCGTTTACCTCTCCAAGCCTACTTACTCGTATGTATAAAAATAAGACTGTTAAGGGCACATACCTCATGCAGTTGTGAACATTAGATGATATGTATAAAGTATTTGGCACAGTTACTGGTATGAATAAACTCTCAATGAGAGGTATACAAAGTTATAGTAATATTTGTGATGATAACTATCATTACTATTAGCTGACTATAAATTACATGCTGTATTAATGCTTTACATACATTACTGAGAGATAGCCGGGCTGGTCCTTTGCCTGTTGGCTCTCGGCGAGTGCCTCTTCCCCTGCTCTGCCATGTATTACACTTCCTACGTTCTCTTGCATCCGACCTCTGGGCAGGTTTGGCCAAGGGGCGATACTGGTAGGAGAATGACATGCAGGCAGAAGTTAGGTCATTTCTCCACTTTGCTACAGCAACAGCTGCATCTTCTGTCTGATTCCAGCTCCCAGACTCTCTCGGGTCCCAGTTCTGGCCACTCAGCTTTTCTTTGGTTTCTGTTCTAGGCTGACATTCCCTGTTCCTGGCTCTGGTCCCACCACTGCCTCCTATCATCCCTTGATTCCTAAGAGGGGTAGCAGCTTTCTGCTGTGGGTAACCTCTGTGTGGCTTCAACACCCCGTTTAGCTTCTAGGTTTCTTATGTCACCAGTGAAACTAATTTCTTACATTTAATTCCTGCTGTTGAAAGACCTAGAGTAGTTTCAGCTACCCTGACTGGACTCTGACTGCTATCACTGCTTTTAAATACTAAAAGAGACAGTAGCCGTTACAGAAAATTCACTTCTTCTCCTCTCCATATTGGAATGAGCCAAGCAAACTGGAGAAGGGATGGCTGGTTATCAAGAGAGAAGTACTAACTAAAGCTCAAAAGACAAGAAATTGATCTAAGCATGAATACTGCCAATACTGAGTTTGGCATTGAGGCCCGGAACCTCAGGTAGCTTACCCACTCTCCAAGGAGACAAGACTCGAGTACTAGTCATAGCCAAGCACAGTACAAGGTAGTGTCTAATCAGAAGGAATAGGAACTCCTCTTTCTTGAGCCAGAGCCCTGGACCATTCACTATCCTAGGCAAGTCACTGTAATAGGTATGTGATTATTCTCATACCCCAAATAAGGAAATGGAGGCTCGGAGAGGGGAAGTGATTTGCCCAGAGTCACACTGCTATTAAGAAGTAGTCTTAGCAACTTACGTTTGTATATCCTGGAACCTATGTTTATTGAACTTATATCTGTTCCTCAGACTTTTCTAAGCTTTTTGTCAGTTTTAAAGCAGATAGTAAGAAAACTGCACACATAATTCATATTACCCTGGTATTGTAGAAATGACCTTACAGAAACAATATTCAACCTTATTCACCTAATTCTCAGAACAGGTTTATGTGAAAAGTTTATTGTGTTCATTTTTTACAGATGAGAAAGCAGACTCAACAAAGTAAAGGAACTTACCCAAGTTCACACTGAATGTTTATATTAAACCTAGAATTCGAATGCAGGTTTTTCTGTCCCCAAGCACATGCTCTTTCCACTTGATGACATCCAAGAACTTGACTATATGTAGTATAAGACCAAGTGTTTTTTAGAATTTTTTTTTTTTTTTTTTTTTTTTTTGAGACAGAGTCTCACTTTGTTGCCCAGGCTGGAGTGCAGTGGCGTGATCTTGGCTCACTGCAGCCTCTGCCTCCTGAGTTCAAATGATTATCCTACCTCAGCCTCCCGAGTAGCTGGGATTACAGGTGCCCCCACTACACCAGGTAATTTTTATATTTTTAATAGAGACGGAGTTTCACCATGTTGGCCAGGCTGGTCTCGAACTCCTGACCTCAGGTGATCCACCCGCCTTGACCTTCCAAAGTGCTAGAATTACAGATGTGAACCACCCCACCCAGTTAGAAATTTTTTTAAAGATTGGGGAGCAAGGCCAGGTTCTCCATCTTCCAGGAACAGACAGTTGGGTTAGAGAAGTAGATATAAAGTGACCTGAAACCAGAGAGCGCCATTGCATAATCTACTCTCTGGTAGTGACTACCAGCAGGAAAGAGAAACCTGGCTTTTTGTAAGAAATGGGGCTTGAAATGGGCTGGAGTGGAAACATTAACTTAGGAAAGGCAGAAAACCAGCAGGAAGAGGGCTTTTTAGATAGAGGTGCTGATGAGAGCAAAGGAACAGATGCAGACAGAACGGAGATGAACAGTGACTCCTGGGAAACGTCCTAGTTCAGGAGTAGTGAAAGAGAAAGTTGGATAGATAGGACCACAGTTGATTACAGGTGGGGGTTGTTAACCACAAACAGATCAATTAGGAATTTGATCAGCAGTCTTGGGAGTACCCTTTGCTCAGCATTCCCTCATCCTTTAACTGTCTTAAAAAAATGTTGCAAGCTGATAGTCTCACTTAAAAAAAAAATTAATGACATTAGTGCTTCTTAGATAATACTGCTTTCTGATTCAAAAAAATAGCTTGTAAAAAATTCAACCTGTGAGTAACAATAAAAGTTTATTACTTATCTGTTGCAGTTTTGAAGAGTCTCTGAAATAGAAGGGGAATACTCTTTAAATGTCCCTAGAATGCTATCTTCTTTCACTACAGTTCATTTGCGTACAGGGTGTTATAAAATAAGACATCTGAGAATTTGAGGATGGAGAAGGCACCTTCTGAAGCAACGTCATTGAGAGATGAGGAGCAAGCCACTTTGTACCAGCTCAAAATCTACACCCTCCTCCCTCCTCCAACCCCCTCCCTGACACCTAGCCCTAGAGGAGCCTTTGTGTTGGATAGAGTTGATGGCAGTGAAATTCCTACCAAGTTGGCTCTGTCATCTTCACCTGTCAGCGTCTCTGATGAAGAGGGATCTTGGCAAGCCAGACTGGTTTGGATAATTGGACTACTGCAGTTGTCTTCATCTCAGTAAATTGACTAACCACTAGAGAGGCTGGAGGAGAAATTTATAGAAAATCCTAAAATGGAGATTGAAGCAAGTGTTTCAATGACTAGGAAACAACAGGCCTTTGTGTGTTTCCAGCATATTGTAGTATGGTGGGGCGCTCAGACTCCTGTCTTCAAGGGACACCTAAAAATGAGAGAGGGGATTCATTTAGTATATGCCAGCTGCCATTTAAGCACTTTTTGGTTATTCACTCACCTAGTCCTCACAACAATCCCATAGGATCCTGATATTAGTTGTACTTTGCACAAAAGGAACCTGAATCACAAAGACAGCAAGTGCTTCCCCAAGGTTAGATAGCTAGTAAGAGGTGAAGCTCAGATACGAATCCAGATTTTCTAACTCTGTGGTCAGTTCACTGTGAAATACTGAAACCCATTTCTGTAAAGTTCTTCTGGGAAACTCACCTTGGTGAGGCCCATCGCTACACCACCCTACCCCTATGTGCGCATCTCTCGCTCTGGCCTTAGATGTTGCCGTGTTTGCTGACCTTACTCAAGTGTGAGCTTCCAGATAAGAATCCAAGTTTTACTCATCCTAGCAGGTAGTCGGTGCTGGATACGTGTGTGTTGTAGCAGACTGGAGGTGAAGCTTTACAGAGACTTTGTAATCTCCCTGAAGCTGACTAAGAAGGCAGCCACCTATGACTAGTTATCCAGAAAGCCAGCCACTTAAAGCAGTGGCATTGCTGGGAATGGACTGAGTTTTAAAGTTGCTACCAGGTAAAATCTGATCTATGTCTCCAGAAACAACTTTACTTATGCACATTAGCTCTGACTCTAAATTGCCCCTTAACGATTCTCACTTGCTCTGATTTTTCAAAGACTGGCTCCTCAGTCATTAGAGTCTGTTCCATAACTAGTAACTCAGTGTATGACCTGGAACAAGAGGTCTGCATCTTTGGGACACAGTTTCCTCATCTTTAAACTGAAAGAATCAGGTTCCGGTTTTCAAAAATATAAAGCAGTGGAAACTTTGGGAGGCCAATACATAAAGCAGAAGGTGAACTGTGCCTCAGGCTTATTTATCACATCCTCTTTCCCCACTGCCTGGCAGTCTTGGAGGGTCTCTGCTGAACATAAGCACTGGCCTAGATCTTTTCAAAGGAAATAACCCAAAATGTTTAAAATGTTTAATAGTGATACTTAATAATTCAATAATAAAGTCACTTCAAAATAGCCTAGCCTACCTTGAGAAAAGCAGGTTGGAGGGCCACACCATGCGATCAGCTGTGCCTGTCTGTGTGACTGTCAGACATTGTGTGCTCCAGGTAGGGAGGGGTGTCAGCTTAACCTGATAAGGTACAGTGGGTTCGGGAAGCTAACGCCTCTGGGCCTCATTCTCCTTGGCTGGAAACAGACTGCGTGTCGTGGCACTGGAGAATTAGAAATTCTATCCAGCCACTCTTGGAGATTGATTTTCCGTCTGGGGATCTGACCTCTTGCTTCACTAGCAGAGGGGATCAGACTGTTCTGGGAGGAGTCAATGAGCTGGCCCTTAGAAAAGCCTTCCCTTTCTTTTTTGTTCTTTTTTTTTAACTGTATGTTTCAAAGGGAAAGTCTGATTACTTTGGGGACTTAACACCACCAGTTTGAATTCTTCTTGGTACTTAGAGCCTTGAGATAATCCATACCACCCCGACATTAGTCCTTCATGCTGGAAGATTACTGAAGGTTTAATTCCATTTATGTCATTGGATTTGTTAAAAAAAAAAAAAAAAAGCCCTTTTGGATTCAAAGATGAATGCCTCAGTTACTTTATTTTTGTTATTTTCACAGACCCCTTATGCAAATGCCTCAAGAGTAAGACTCTTGCTCAAGTGATTTTTGTATCTCCAAAGGCTAACACGGAGCCTGACATAGAGTAGCTGCTTGGTAAATATGTGTTCATTCATTCAACAAATACCCCCCTAGGTATAATGATAAGCAAAATAACTACGGTCCTAATCCTTAACGTGTCTACAGTTGACTGGAAGAGACAGTTAAAAAGAGTACAAATAAATATATCTTGGGTTAAATGCTGTGAAGGAAAAGAACAGGTTCAATGGAAGGAAAAATTAGAATTATTGGTACATGAACAGAAGTAAATGACCCCAACTCCCAACTCTAAATCTCTGTCTCATCTCACCTCTTTGTAAATAATCACTGCTATTATTTTAATTCTCACAACTTCTGTCATTTCTTGATTACCCACTACATTGCTGACATCTTTGTATTTATTACAGAAAATTGTCAAAATTACCCTACCAGTTAGGCTTCCTTATTACTTATTCCAAATGAAAAAATAAGGTCCAGGGAAGATAATTATGTAATTTGTTCATGATCAGAGAGCTAAGGAGTGTCAGAGATTAATTGAACCAAAGTTGGTCTGACAAATCCTTTGTTTTCAGCAAAAGAAAAAAATTATC